CAGCGTGCTCCTCACCCTTTGGAACTGAGCACGGCAGTGTGTGCACCGAGTTATACGCAGGCCCAGCTGAGGCTTTCTTCCCTTTTCCAGTGGCCTGTACCCGGAAGATCATACTTCGCCATTTTTGTCTCTTAATGTGGATGTCGAGGATGTTGCCTCTGCCTGGGGCCTACTTTCAATTAATTTTTTGATGTTAACAGGCGTGGACCATCAGGAAACGGCCTCTTTCTGGCGCCACAGCCAGTTTATCACTTTTGGAGAGCCAACGCAATAAATTGCAGAAACTATCACCGAACATTTCTAGTGGGTAGTAGGGGGAGAGCCCTCTCTTGCTCCACTCATGCCTATCTATCTACTTATAACAGGATGAATAAAATATCACAATTAATTTGATACTTAGGAACATTTTAAGTCACCATTTTATTTTCAAACAATCGTGATCAATCACAACTTGAATATTAATTTAATCTAGTATAGCTGGTAATCTGAAGTGTTTTCTCAATGTTTTACCCTCTCAATTTTTCTTCTTTTACACCTGGTAATATCCAAACTAACGTACTTTTTAAAAAATAGCTGCGTTTTGTAGTTCTGTAAAGGCATGGATTACAAAATAGATTTATCTGAAGTATATTGATAATAAATTTTGCTCCCATCAGAGAAAAATAGTTACTTGAAGCTCTTTGTTTTGTTTATCAGATAATGCCATAAAATTCTGTGTATTTATTTCTGAACATATTTAATGATAAACTGAAAAGTAAATACGCATTGTGAATTTTGTTAATGAAAAGATCTGTAATCCTGTGTGACTGCAACTGCATTGATGTAGTGGTACAGAGGAGACCTTAGAATGGTGTGTTTTATTTATTTACTCATTCACTCGTTTTCTTATCTTACAAATACTGATTGAGTATTGCTAGAGGACAGGTGACTCTGGAAGTAAAATAGTTAACCAGATAGATACATTGTCTGTTTTTAGGGAACATCTATTTGTGGAAGAAGACAGATGATAAGCAAATCCATAAATATGATAATTTTAAATAATGAGCAGTCCTAGGAAGAATATATAACAGTGCAATGTGATAAAGGGTGACTGGAAGTGCTCATGCAAGGCTTCCTTGAGCATCTCCTATTTCAGCTTAGGTGTAAGTGATAAGAATTCAGACCTATGAGGCTCTGTGGGAAGAATAGTTCAGAGAGGGAAAGAGCAAGTGCCAAGGACTCAAAGCAGAGTTGAACTTGACACATTTAAGACCTGGCAGCTGAAGCATAGTATTGTGGGGAGAGTAGTAAGGAATGAGATAGGAGCTGCATCATGTAGGATCGTATTATATGTAGTAACAAATGTGTATTTTAGGCTATCTGTAATGATAATTTATTGAAGAGTTTTAAGCAGAAGAACAATATTACTCGATTCACATTTACAAAAAAAAACTATGTTGGCTTTTAGAATAACTGAATTTTATGTCTGTATTATGAGTCTCTCACAATTACAAAATGGTTAAAAATATATATGCCTATATTGACAGACTTTTCTGACCCCATATGGTTTTATTAAACCTGAAAATTCTATTTCTCTTAAATGGGAGGAATATATGCCCCAAATTCATTTCCTCTCTCCTTTCTAGGATTTCCAAACTTGGCCTGGTTAACTTTTGTACTGGGTAGAATTCATCACTTTTTTTTTTTTTTATATTGTTCAATAAGGAAATGTTTTATGTAGGAGGTAATGCTTTCAGAAATATATAATAATATAAAGTAATGTATTCGTAAAGAATATTAGAAATTTTTAAAGCATTGTCTTTAAGTACCTGTGACATCAAGACATCAAGTCAGAATCAGTGGAAGGAAAACAGATCAAATTATTACTGCTACACCTATAAAATTTGCAGTGTGTTAGAAATAGTCTGTTTTTTGAATAAGTTATCACATATTGGAAGTGTGCAAGTAGAACCTACACAAATTGCGTTGACATGGAGAGTGGTAAGACATTACTTTTTTCTTGCAGCGGATGGGGAGGCAAGAAGTGGCGGGCCATAAGAAGCTATGTGAAGAAACATCGAAAGTAAAATATGACACAAATGATGAAAGAGCACAAACATTTTAGCTAGTTTGGCTAGAATATCTAATAAATATATGTCAACATATCATGAAAACAACATATTTGGAATTAATGTAAGTTTTGGTTGTTTTAAATCAATTGTCACTAATTAGAAAAGTTATTTTATCTCAAACTTTCTTATTAAACTTAGCAACTGGCCGTGAAAAATCCCAGGCATAAAGATACATAATTTTTTAATTTTATAACTTGTTATAGAGTAAGTATACTCCTTTCCAAGTAATTCTTTAGGCAGCAGTCAAGCCAGAGTGAGTATTTCAAAAGGCACATCTTATCAGCAAAGTCTTAAACTTCAAATATTTTTATCTCTTCTCCTTATACTTAACACAAGGAGGATCTGGCTCTAGTTGATATAGTCCAATCTACTTTGGTAGCCACATCTTGAATCATTCTTCCTTAACTTTCTGTAAGTCAGACAAAATGGGTTTAAATTATGTTTTTCTTGAATGCTGTTACTGGGATACATTTTCTCTTCTCTTTTTCTTTTTAACTCCTGTGGGGCTCATAATCCCAGTGACTCAGCATTCAGAGATGAGAGGATCACTGAAGGCCAGGAGCTCAAAACCAGCCTGGGCAACATAGTGAGACCCTGTCTCTACAAAAAAAAAAAAAAAAAAAAAATATAGGCCAGGCGTGGTGGCTCACAACTGTAATCCCAGCACTTTGGGAGACGAGACTTGAACTGGAGAGGCAGAGGTTGCAGTGAGCCAAGATCACACCACTGCCACTCCAGCATGGCGGCAGAGTGAGACTCGTCCTGTCTTAAAAAAAAAAAAAAAAAAGTTAGCCAGGTACGGTTGTGCATGCTTGTAGTCCCAGCTACTGGGGGCAGTAAAGTGGGAGGATAGCTTGAGCCCAGGAACTTCAGCCTGCAGTCAGCAGTGATCATGCCAGTACACTTCGGACTGGACAACAGAGTGAGACCCTGTCTCAAAACGAATGAAACAAAAACATCCACTTTAATAAGCTTCATAGCATCAAGACACGTTCATACGTACCACTTATCATAGTTTCTATTTTTCAATTATTTTTATGGAATTAATATCTACATATTCCACTAAATTGAGGATCTATGAAGGTAATAGCCATCCTCTTATTTGCTCTATGTTGTATTCCAGCACCTTAGTTGTGCCTAGTGTGTACTGAATGAATGAATGAATCATTGAGTATAAAAATTAATGATGACAATGAAAAGAATGGATGTGAAGCATATTTATGATAGTGTCTTCTCTAATTTACCAATTCTCTACAATTGTCTGATAATACTAATGGTTTTCTATAGCTTCTCTCCAATAAATAATGTAGACACAAGTAAGAATTTGGAACTGCTGTCAGAAATTACATTATTATAATTATCATCAATATCATTTTCTTTATCACTATCATCATTCTGATCATTATTGTCAGAATTACAAACATACCTCTATTCTATAATTTTGCTGAATGGAACTTTAAAATACGTACACTTACAGAGTCAAGCATATTTTTCATGTACAAAGAGGATTAATGAAGAGATGATGGGGAAGAAAGCATAAATCTATAGAATTTATTCATGTTTTGAAGCATAATGTGAAAATTTAGCTTTGAAAGAAAGCAATAAAATTTCCATTTTGTAATTTATACCTAGTTCAAAACCCTCTGGGCCAGGACTAGGAACAGATGCTGTCAATGCAAATTGTGTCACTTTCAAATTTAACATATTATCATCACAGAATGCTATTTTTTTCAGTCTGAACTTGTATCCTAGGTGTATGAAATATTATCTGTTCATAGAACTTTTTCCCAAATTGAATATAAATATACACCAGACCTACGATGAATGATTATAGACCTCATTTTCCTTCGCAAAAAAAAAAAAAAAAAAATTAGTATTTCTGTTTTGCAAAAAGCAGGAACTGTTCAAAATTTTACCTAAAATAGGCAAACTTGTGATTTATAATGTATATGTGTTTGTGTATAATATTAAATTACAGTAGATTAAGCAGAGTGGTGTGCATGCATTTTACTCAGCATTTGACTGATGATATTCAAAATATTTCTTAGATGAATGAATGAATGCACTCTGAGAGCATTAGTCTACTTCAGCAGTTTTTGTTGGCAATTAAGAGATTGTTCTCCCTAAAGACATTTATACTTAATGTATATTTAAAAAATAGCATGACACATTTTTTCAAATGAAAAGTGTTCTACGTATGTATACAATTACTATTTTTATTGGCTTCCTAAATATGATTCTGTCCAGTATTTAATTGCTTCAGTCTTGTATTCAAAATATGAATGAAACTTTCTAATTTGACATCCAGCTTTTCAAAATAACTAATAGGTAACTTGAAGTAAATCAGCACCTCTCTAAGCTTTGAATCATTTTCTACCAATATTAATTTTCTTAAAATTATATATTTTAAAAAAATTAACGGACAGGTAAACATGGAGCTAAAATGTTCCCTTTGGATTTGCAGACAATTATTTTGACTTGCACCATGAGAAAATAGAACACCTTCACACATGAAAATGATTAAGTTTGAAACAATTGAAATTTATGAAGTGTACATTAAAAATAAATGCTCTTGTTCCTCAGAGAACAAAACATTTTGTCGGTTTCTGGAGTTTCTCTTTCTAAATTAAGGTTGCTACCATTTAACTGTCTCATTTATTCACTTACATATGGGATTCTCTGAGAAATCTAAGACTCACTGATGTCTTAACAAATACAGGTGGGTACATAATGGATGAGTGCACATGTTAGATCCTAATATAATTTCACTTGGAACTTATATTAGATTCAGTTAGTTTTGGATACCACAAAATAAATCTTTTAATTCATGTCTCTTCATTTCCCCCATATATTTGCCCCTTGTATATATGACTGACATAGAAGATGAAGGTGAAAATTTATGATTTCAAGATATTCTTAGAAGATATCTGGTCTACTTTTTTGAGGTATAACATTTTTCTGAGGTTTGTAAAATACTGATAATTTACAAAACTATGTTAACTTGTTAAGTGAAAATTAAAGCCAGACTTTGACTTTCACTAGAAATAGCAGTCTTTCATTATGTACAATAGTCTAGATCAATCTTTATAAACATTAGAGGTGAGATTTAAATCTAATTTCCCAAATTATTTCCATTTATCATGCTGCTGCTATGCATGAAATGTGAATGAATGCAGTTGGTTATCAAGGCCGAAAACCTTCCTAACATGAAGCCAGGATCAGAATGAATTTACCATTGATAATTTGTTTTGGTCACTCATAAATTAAAGTTCCTTCCATAATTTTGGAAATTCCCAGGCATGTGAAACAGAGTCCCACTCTCAAGCTAGAAGTTATAAAGCTGAATATTTTTCTTACAAGCTACCCTTGCACTTAAAATATATAAACATGACTTTGATTCAACCAATCAGATGCACCCAGTCCAGATTTGGACTTGTAAGATACATACAAGCAGAAAAAATGTGCATAATATTCTGGCAATAAGGAGAGGGTCAGTAGTAATTACATTTATTTTTTCAGAGGCAGTGACGTAAGCGCATATTGAAAAGTGTCTCCTGACATTGATAGAAAATGTAGAAAAGCAAGCAAACAAAACAAAACAACTATGACAAAAATCAATACCAGGAGAAACAAAATATTGTATAAAAATGAAATTGGCCGGGCGCGGTGGCTCACACCTGTAATCCCAGCACTTTTGGAGGCCGAGATGGGCAGATCACAAGGTCAGGAGATCGAGACCATCCTGACTAACACGGTGAAACCCCGTCTCTACTAAAAATACAAAAAAATTAGCCAGGCATGGTGGCGGGCACCTGTAGTCCCAGCTACTCGGGAGGCTGAGGCAGGAGAATGGCAGTGAACCCGGAGGCGGAGCTTGCGGTGAGCTGAGATCATGCCACTGCACTCCAGCCTGGATGACAGAGTGAGACTCCACCTCAAAAAACAAAAAAAAAAAAAAAAAAAAAAGAAATCGTGTTTATTGTTCATGATATGGTATGGTTGTGAACAATAACTAGTCCTAAAAAATACATTCACCAAAAATAAGGATTTAAATAACAATTATGATGTCATCCTATTACAAGGATGAGGAAAGGAAGTGTTTATGAAAGGGAAGAATGGGCCAGGCAGGGTGGCTCATGCCTGTAATCCCAGCACTTTGGGAGGCCAAGGTGAGCGGACTCCCTGAGGTGGGAAGTTCGAGACCGGCCTGACCAACACGGAGAAACCCTGTCTCTACTAAAAATACAAAATTAGCAGGGCATAGTGGCATATGCCTGTAATCCCAGCTACTCAGAAGTCTGAGGCAGGAGAACTACTTGAACCGGGAGACAGAGGTTGCAGTGAGCCGAGATTGAGCCATTGCACTCCAGCCTGGGCAACAAAGGGGATAATGTAAGAAAGATAGAGCTATATTTTATCTTCCAAATTTAGAAGTTGCTATATGGACTAGTCAGAGTTCTCCACATAAACAGAATGATAGATATGTTTTAAGATTGGATTTACTGATTTTGGAGGCTTGGCAAATCCAAAATCTGCAGGTTAGGCCATCAGGCTGGAGACCTAGGGAAGAACTACAATTCGAGTCCAAAGGCAATTCTTCTTGCTTGGTTGACTCAGTCTTTTTCTACTAAGGCCTTCAACTGACTGAATGAAGCCCTCCCATAACAGGAAAGGTAATACACTTTATTGAAAGCCTACTGATTTAAATGCTAATCTCACCTAACACATACCTTCACAGAAACATTTAGAATAATGTTTAACCAAATAGTTTGATACCTTGTTCTAGCCAAGTTGATATATAAAATTAGCCGTCATGACATATAGTATCTAAATGTCAAAAATTAAAGAAATAGTGTGGCGAAATGGTGTTGGGGACAAGAAATAGTGGTACATAGGGTTGTGCTGCTTCCATTATAAGTCTGATATTTTTTACTGTTTAATGATTTAAATTATGTACAAAGGTTACTTGGATAAAAAATTTGTAAGGTGATATTTTAGTAAAATAGAAAAACTCATATGATCATTCTGAATATTTCAGATGTATATTTTTGTCTTGTCTTTCATTTCCTCCTAGGGCAATTAAGTAATAATGAGAGAGAACTTATCAAATAATCCATCTATTTAGGAAAATTGGAAACTAGTAAAAATGTGGCATCCACACATTTACAGACAGTCTTGGCTAATGAAAGCATCGATAAATAGTTCTAGGATTGTAAAAATGAATATATGCTTCTAAGTTTCCATTTTAATTAACAAATAATGCAGAAATATAAGTGGTATAATGTGATGTTTTAATGTATGCTTATATTGTGGAAAGATCAAATCAAGCTGATGAACGTATCTATCACCTACCTACTTATCCCTTTTTTTATGGTAAGAACATTTAAAATCTACTCTTTTAGCAATTTAGAAAGTACAATACATTATAATTAACTGTAGTTCTTGTGCTGTGCACCATATCTCTGAAATTTACACATCTTGTCTAACTGAAACTTCATACTCTTTGGACATTTCCCCATTCAATAATAATTTTTGATTTCCCACCAAAGCTACATTCCAAATCTCTCCCGATTATTATAACCACATTTTTTTTGCTTCAATTAGAGATGATGAAGGTTTGACTTTGTCCCCTGGACATGTCTAATTTTAAGAGTTATGGGATTTGCCAAAGTCATGATAAATATAGTCTTTGAATGTATTACGTAGGATGAAATTTATTTATTTTGCCTAATAGTCTAATATTTTTATAGCACCATTCAAAGACATTTATGTAAAAGTTAAAATACGGATTCATTAGACAGCTAGATAATAGATAAATAGAACATAGATAGATAGAATTTTATTCTAGAGCCTTAACTACCTTCTCTAAAATCCTCTCTACTACATAATTTCTATATAGCTCCAAAATGATTTATTAAAAATCCATGAGTTTCTCTTAGTCCTGCCATTTGCCTGAAATTGCCCCTAATTTACCTTACTTTATGTCATCTTCCTCAAACAGTGAATAAAGATTCCTTCAAGTCTCATTTCTTCCTCTTTTCTCAATATTCTTTAAAATGGAAGTCACTACTTCCTTTGATGAATGAGTTTATTTCAGGAAATGAATATATTTTCCATTATTAAGTTTAGCTCTGTGTTTTGAAAATAAATGTTCCTAGCTTTATGTGTTATTTATTGCACCATTTTGTACATTGCACGTGAATTTTAAAATTTACTTTATACAAAGTAACTACTTCATAACAGAATATTGATTGTTAATCAGGGAGTAGTTTTTAATCATCTGTTTTGAGACATGTGTATTTAAGTCACATACAGTCATTTTTGTACATGTTTTTCAGTTACTTTTTAATATCAGTTTGGGATTTTTTTAAGTTAATGTGTAATATATAATAATAATTTTTTCATTTAAGGTAAAAAATGCCCCAGGTTAGCAATTTTGCACAGAATTATTGATTTAATGTAATAAATTTACATATAATTTAAATGTCCTTTGTACAAGTCAGCAACAGCTTCTTTTACAATGTGATATTCAATCGGATGTCCATAAAAGTCTGTGGTATCTGGAAGTAAAGTTAATGTAAAACATGCAAAATCTTTATAGAGAAAATCATGTTAAACATTTTAATGATAAAAATGAAAAACTGAACAAGTTAGGTCCATGTTCATAAATGGGAAAATTAATGCAATAAAATGTATTTTCCCAAATATACCTTTAAACTCAGTGTATCCCAATCCGTCATCAAAATAATTTTTTTTTTCTGAAACATGACAATGTCACTCTAAAACATCATGGAAACATAAAAGGTCTAGGAAATAAAAATAGCTTTGAAATAAGATTGCTGTACTTATTTAGTAAAATCATATTGATTTTATTTTAAATCTATAATAATCAAGCCAACATAATATTGGTGTGAAAATAGAAAAATAGACCATATGGATGGAAAGTTCAGGAACAAACCCACCATACTGAAATTAGATATACAACAGAGTAGTAGTATTACAAATTCACAGGTACAGTTGAACTATTGAACAAATGGCACTCTAAGAAACAGGCTTATATATTATATATTTATATATGTGTGTATTTACTGTTTACTATATGTATACACTGTGTGTGTGTGTGTATATATATATGGCACAATCCACATATAAAAGAATAATCTAGGGAATTACATACCTAAATAAAAGGTAAATATACTTTAAAATGTATAGATACATATATATCTTTTTTTAAAGAACATGTAGTGGAGATGTATATACAGAAGCAAGAACTATTAAAAATACTATTACATTAAAGTTAGAAATCATCTTTCTAATGTAAACATTTCATAAATATACATATACATAAGTCTTATAAATATATAATAAAAAGATAAACAACTCACCTAAAATAGACAAAGAATATGATTATGTATTCACAAACAAAGTAAACCAAGTAGAGAATAAAAATTTTTTAAAAATGTTTGACCACACTAATAATCTCAGGGAGAAAAATTAAGAACATATGCAATATTACTTCGCATCTATTATTTCAGAACAATTTAAAAGTCTGGAGACATAAAATGTTGACAAGGAAGTAAATTGATAAATCCTCACATTTTAGATATCCTTGCCAGATACTGCTATGAATGCTGTTCATGTATCATTTTATTTAATTCTTTCAAAAAATTATGATCTCGTACTATTTTTTTACACATTCTAGAAATAAGGTAAATGAAGCAATAATAACCTCCAGGTCAAACAGCTGATTAGGTATTAGAAGCTTAATAAAGTCTAGGCCATCTCACTCCAGCACCCATCTGCTCAACCACTGTGCTGTTCTGGCTGTTTTACAGAAATCACACCAAAAAAGCTCCATTCACATTTAATTGGCCATTCATAAATAAAGAACAGACTAAGAAATGTCATCTCTGAATGATCACACTTCCACAAGGATTAAAAGTTAGAGTATTATACTGACAGATGGAGGATGGTTATTAGATAGCAAATGTGTATATCCTATGTCTCTTCCACTTCAAGGTATAGAACCTTGGGGAAACTTCCGCAGCATAGAAGACAGGAAAACCTGTGCATCATATTGTTTGCACTAGGAAGTAATTTGGGACTAGTCAGCATGCATCAGTAGGATGTACATATTATTATTGTTGTATAGTCATGGTTAAAAAATGAGTGAAGCAGACATACATCTATCATCAGGGAAATCATAATAATATTGAGAAACAAAATAAAAATTCAGAGTAATGCATTCAATTTGTTATAACTTATTTAAAGTTTATGAACATACCAAACACGGCAGGTGCATATGCCTTAAAATTGGAAAGGTCTGCATAACAATTATACATATCAATGACAGTGTGCAAGAAATGATGGGAAAATGAACATTCTAAGCAAGAATTTAACAATATTTTTCATGTTTTATTTCTTTAAAATGGTGGCAGCACATATGTCAAAGTATTAGATTGTGTTAGATTTGAGTAGGTTGTTCATAAAGTGTTTACGTTAATCACTTTAATATTCTATATTTTAGAAATATTGATTAGAAAGTATAATCTAGTCCACCAAAAAATGAAAATAATAATAAATAACATGCAGAGTGAACATTTTGATTCAGTTTAGTTGCTCACAACTGAGCTTCGGTTTACATTTGCGAAGTTCCTTTTCACATGAATCCTACTGAAGGGAAAGACCATCGCTCTTTAGGTCCACTGAAAACTGTACTCTCTTCTTTCCAGTTTCCCTACAACTAGGGCAAAATTATGAGGCCTATGATAGACTTTGACTCTGGGCATGATGACTCAAGAGAAAGAAAGGGTGAGAACCTGTCTTTTCCTTATTGTGAGGATAGTAACCACGACTGCCAAGTCGCATCCTAAAGCGGAAGTAGAGACAGAACCAAGTTCCAGCCTCCTGGCAGGAGCAGCTGTTTCCTCTCTAGGCTAGTTGTCAGCAGTAGTTTGGGGACTTGTTGCTGAAAACTTTGCCTTGAGCCTAATTGTCAAACCATCTTACACTTTTCAAAACAACCCAGTATCTGTTCAATCTTTTTTTCTGTTTGTATATCAGAGTCAACTTTTGTTGGGAAGAAAGGAAGTGGAAATATGGTTGCTGCCTAAGAAGTAATAATAGGAGATACAAGAAACAGCTTGAAATGGAATAGGTATGTAAAACACTAGTGGAGCAGAAACACAGTCGAAAATAACATGCAAAAACAAACATACTAAGCAACTATAGAGAATGCATTTTGGGACTCATATGTGTACTTTTACAGGTGTAGTGCAGTATATAATGAAGCAAAGCCAGGATTTTGAAACCTATGAGGGGACTTTAAAAGGTTCGTGGAAAAATGGAACTGAAAGATAAAAATAAAAAAGTACAAACTATTTCTCAACATAAGGTCCTTCAAGATCAATACACTTTTGCAAATGACACCAGCCATTTAGTTAACTGATGAAGAGCTAAAAGTCCTGGGAATTCAACCATGTCCATGCAGTCTTCTTTACATTATTAACTGAAGAAAAGTGGGTGCCCTTTACAGATTTTTTTAAGATAAGGGAACAAAAAGATGTCAGCAGGAGCCAATTCAGGATGGTAAGGTGTATGCTTACGACTTTATCATTAAAACTCTCATAAAATTGCTGTGGTTTGATGACAGGAATGAGCAGAATCATTATCCTCAAGGAGAAGGACTCTCTGATGAAGCTTTTCCAGGCATCATTTTCTTAAAACGAGTTACTCGTTTGTAAACTACTGACTTCTTTGGGTTGGGGAAGGGGGGCATTGTCCCCATAAATCTTTCTCTCCTTTTATTCACACACGAAATCACTATTTTATTAATCCTAATTAGGTATTTTTAATTTGGGGTATCCATCACATCAAGCATTTATCATTTGTTTTTGAATAGAACATTTCAAAGCATCAATACACTATTCTTTCACCCAAGCTTCACCATAAATTTGATGTTTGTTCCTGCTTCAATTTTAGTAGAATGTATGTTTCTCTGATGGGGCTGTTTTCAGACTGATGTCTTAACCTTCTTAGGTTAAGAAGATTTTTTTAGATTTTAACTAGATTTTTTTCAGACATGATATAACTTAGTATGAGTTTGTTTTGGTTCAAAAGATTTTTTGAAATCCATGCAGTTTTTTTCAAAACTTTTTCATGACCTTTTTCACGAACTTTTTGAACACCCCTTGTATAGTCTTCAAATCTTTCTAAAATCAAGAGGAGACACACATACTTTACACACATAGCCAATACAGTATTGTAAACGCTATAACTCTTACTCATGAATGGCATAATTACAAATTAAAATCTGTATGGGATTTACACAAATGTTTTCAAGTGCACTATTTATTCCCTCCACATTCAAGAGAATATTCCAGTGCATAGTGGAGAGTGTGTGTGTGTGTGTGTGTGTGTGTGTGCACATTTCCCCTATTGCCTCACAATGCATCGGGTTATTGTCACTATTTGACGAAGACCCTGTTTAGTTCTAGATTGATTTTAAACAGCTAAAAATATTTACAAAAAGAATTGCAATTTCTTGCTTCGTGTCCACATACATTCTGTAAAATTTTCACTTGATTAAGGCAGCCCTCTTTATAACAGTTTCTATTAGTCTTAGAGTAATTGAAAGCATTTTGTGTTTGTCATATCTTTTTATATGTTTGTAATTTCTTTTATTTCCAGTTATTATTAGGTGAGAAAATAAATGATTAAAAAAAACTATGAAAAATCTTCTACTTGCATGATTTTGGGTGAGATACTAAATCTATCTGAATTTCAGATTTATGAACTCTAAAGGGTTCATGACAGTAACTAAAATGTTTCTCCCAATATCAACATTCTGGTTCTAAGTTTACAGATTGATTTTTTTTTGGGGGGGGGGCAAGATGGTACCAAAAGAAACATTTTCTATCACTTTAAACCTTATGAAATTTCCCATTTCTGAGATTTAAGGGAATCATTCAAGAAGAACTAAAAAGTAATACAATTAGGGACATACTATAATTTATTATGGAATAACTTGACAACCCAGAATTGACATTTTGTAACTGTTACTCTCTCCCAATATTATTTTTTCTCATAAATATGCTTAGGAAATATTTTGTGAATATAATTTAAAAAGACATATGGAGAGAATTACTCATTTGTGTGCTATTCTATATGTGGATGTTTTGTTGGCAACTCAGGCTTAATTTAATTCTACTAGGTGTCTACTTTACAGAACTGTAAAATAACATCTTTACCAGGAAGTTTCAATCAACAGCTCTATTTAGCCTTTTGTAATATAAAAACACTACATTCAATACTGACAGAAACTGTACAATCATATTATAGTCTACTTTCCCATCTGTTGCTGGATATAAAATGAGTTTAAGTTTCTGTTATATGAGAAGAGTAAGCTAAGTTTTATTAAGCACCTGCAATTTTCCAGGGTATTTCCAGGGACTATTATTTTATTTTTCCTCTTTGACATATCTATGTGGTGCATATTATGACTGTTTTAAAGATGAGAAAACTGAGGTTCTGAGTGAAGCATCAAGTGGAGTTTGAAATAGATTTGCAAGATGACTTATACACTGTTATTTAATCTTAATAACAATCTTTTTAGTTAGAGATCACCCTTTCCCTGTTAGATATTGATACACTGATATTTGTAGAGGTTAAGTAATTTGCTTTACCAAACTTGCAAATGGCAGGACAGTGGAAAGCTAATTCTGTTCATAGCTGAAGACTTGCCCATTTTTAGTGTACTATGATTTAGAATTATTAACCTTATTTCCTTCCTTCATGCATATCTATTTTTTATAAGACTGGTGAATAGGAGAGGTGAGCTTGCTCCATTACAGACATGTGTGTTCATATGTATGTGTACATGTATTAAAGTGTTAAAATAATTGGAGGAATTTCACTGTATGAGATATAAGTCTCCTGCAATCAAAGACCATAAACTATATACAGGGAAAGTATTCAAGCACTCATACAAAATAGAGAGTGTGACAGTGTCACAAATGAGAAACTTAGAAAACATATGATTTACCATAATTCTGCACAAACTATATGACTATCAGAATCTATAGACTATCAGAACCTAAGTATTTAGATTGATTCATTCTAGATACACATCTAAGGTAGCTAGAGACTAGTCAATCTTCTTCACTGAATCAGAGAGTATTTAAACTCATATTAGAAGTCACAGAATTAATTATGTGAGTCTGGGATCAGTGAGAGATTAAAATTGAGAAGAAAGAAAACTGTCAGAATCTGTGTCTTGAAAAATCCAGGAGAGACAGGTAAAGAACAGAAACCAATATCACACCCTCACACCCTAGGAGATTCAGAATCAAGCATGCCAAATTCATGCTTCACAGTGAGAAGGGTGGTAGATCAGAAGTTAAGATCAAATTGTTAGTTTTCCTAATTACTAGAGACGTTGAGTTATATAAGAAAGCTAGTAGTCATTCAAGATTTTTTTTTTTTTAATTTAGGGGTGCCATCTTTAAGGAGAAATTTTCAGAATTTTATTGAAATTAGTTTGTTTTTTAAATTATATGTATATTTATTTATTTATTTACTAGTTTTCATTCAGTAATTTCAGAATTCCAGAGGAGGAAATCATGGCAGTGGGCATATGATCATCTCAGAGAAAAAGAAACATGTTAATGCTCTCTTCTTTCTTCTGGAGCTATATAATAGGAAGCAAGGATTTTCCAGGAAATGGAGGTGGCATATGTGTAGATAGGTTCCTTTCCTGGTACCTCACAGATAGAGCTAAGTAGAGTTTAAAACCCATTTGCATAGCTTGAGTAATCCAGTCTAAAGTGTGTGTGGGTGTACTCTTGTAAGAATTATTATAAAACCATTCAAATTAAATCCTTTAAGAAAACATATTATTTTCAATTATTTTTTAGCCCCCTCCTTATTATCTGTCTCTGTCTCTATATCTATCAGTCTCTCTATATATAAGTATATAGAGATTGAAAGTTGAATGACTCAGTTTTCCTATAGAGCAATATAAATACAGTCACACATTTCTTAACAATTGAGATATATTCTGAGAAATGCATCATTAGGCAATTTTATGTTTATGCAAATGTCATTGGTTGTGCATACAAACTTAGATGGTAGAGCTTACTAAAAATGCAGGCTATATGGTATAGCCTATTACTCTTAGGCTACAAATGTGTGCAGCATATTACTGCACTTAATACTGTATGCAATTATAACACAATTGTATTAGTGTATCTAAATATTTCTAAATAAGAAAAGGCACAGTAAAAATATGGTATTATAATCTTATGTGACCACTGATGTATATGCAGTCCATGATTGACCAAAACATTGTTATGCATGGCATGTCTATATTTGGGTAAGCAATTTCTAGTGTGGACTATAAAACATTGTCTTCAATAGAATTACAGAAAGCCCAAGAACTTAGTGAGTCAGTATCAGGAAATCAATAATTCATTGATGAAATAAAAGTGAAACATTAAAATTCCAGAAAAATTGAATGCTGGATGAAAATTAGGTTCTATTTTCAAAACTTTTTACTTAAAGAGGCTACACATGAATATTATTATATTGTAATTGAATCAATGTATAGAGTTTAAACATTTTTGGACTAAGCTTTCTTCTGTAACAATGAATACACAAATGTTGTGGTTGACTATAATCATTGAAATTTAAATGTCTTCATTTAAATGCATTTCTGTTGTCAAAAAAATCTTGGAAAGAACTCTGTTGTCTAAGCAATCATTCACAAAGTTTTGTGTGAACATTTTAGTTGAGATATTCTGAAGTATTCAGAAATATACATGATATAAGCCAAGTCTGTTAAAACTGAAATAAATAAATGTGTGTATGTGTATATATGAAAATAACACACATATGTACATTTAAGTATACACACACATATATTCTCATATATATAATTTCAGAAATTGCATAGATTTCAAAGTGAAAGTCTATTATACAATGACATATTTTACAAAGTGAGGTTATTTTGAAAATAAATGATGCTGGGAAATGTAAGAGAATTTTAAAAGTGGGCAAAGAGCACAAATAGACATTTTTTGAAAGATATACAAATGGAAAAGCATATGATCTGTATCTACCCAAAGGAAGATACATTATGTGAAAAGATATCTGCACTCATATGTTTATCACAGCATTATTCACAATAGCAAAGATATGTGATCACTCTAAATGTACATCAATGAATGAGTAAAAAAATGTAATGCATATATAATCACATTTCTATATGCATTTCACATATTATATCTATATATTTCTCGTTACACATATGTTGTTATATTATTATCCCGAAGTTTTTAACCATTTATAGTTTCATCAATAGGATATAACATCACCCATGTCCCAATCCATATTATTGCTAAAAGTGAATAAGACTGTGTAAAAAAAAAAATAGCTTTCACTATCTTATTAAAAAAAAATACCTATCCTAGGGATTTGATTGGCATTTTCTTGATTATTGGTGATGCTGGAAGTGCTTTCGTTTTCTTCTTTGTTTTTTGTATATTTTCTTTTATAATGCACTGATTTATGTTCGCCTGTTTACCTATTGAAGTTTTCAGCTCATTTTTAATAAAAGAGCTATATATATACACACACACACACATACATACATAGACATATATTATAAAAGAGCCATATATGCACATATATGGCTCTTTTATATATAACTAAATATAGCTATATATGTATATAGCTCTTATATGTAAATACATATAGCTATATATGTATATAGCTCTTATTTAAAAAACGAGTTGAAAACTTCAACAGGTAAACAGGCAAACATAAGTCAGTGCATTGTAAAAGGAAATATACAAAAAACAAAGAAGCCATATATGTATATATGTGTATATATGTACACATACAGCTCTTTTGTTAAAACCTGTATATACATATATACAGCTCTTTTATATATATACATATGTACAGTTCTTTTATAATAAAGCTATATATATGAGTACAGAATATATATATACATATATACACTATATATAAACACACACAACAGAATAGTACTCAGCCATTAAAAAAAAAGAATAAAATGATGTGATTTGTAGCAACATGGATGGAACTGGATACCGTTATCTTAAACAAAAACACTCAGAAATAAAGTTCAATACCTCATGCTCTCACTTGTAAGTAGAAGCTACATAATGTGTGCCCATAGACAGAGAGTGTGGAGTAATAGATACTGGAGACTGAGAAAGAGGCTGGGGGAAAGGGAGGTGAGTTATGACAGATGACTTAATGGGTACATTATTTGGGTGATGGTTACACTAAAAGACCAGGCTTCATCACTACACAATATATCCATAACAAAACTGTACTTGTAGTCCTTAAGTTTATATTTTAAAAAACATAGGCAACTTTAAAAACTATCTTTTTTGGAATTTACGAAACGTAGTACCTGTATCACTTTCTCTCAAGCGATACAACTTATACATCATGCTCATAGTGACTGTTGAATATCTGGCAGTGTTTCTAAGGACTCATTGCTCATTAACAACAACCACAGAAATAATTAATTTGTCATATTAATAAAAGGGAGAAAGTGAAAGAATAGGTAGATTTGATAGGTGCTATTTGAAAATTTAGGTCCATTTTGTATTTAAAATAATTGAGGTTCAGATAGTAAAATAAATGTTGGCCTAACTGCCAATTAGCAACAGAAGCATTTTTAACACCAGGCTTGCCTGACATGAATTGCTACATTTTATTTTCCCATTTATTATATTATCTTCCACTTTTAAACCTAACATGACATAGACTTTTTTAAAGTTTTATTTCAAAATGGTAAATATTCTTTCCAGAACAAAAGTAAAATAACCAATTCCAATAGAAACTAAGCAAATATTATCCGGGCGTCTATGATTTATATACATTTTCAAATATGAAGTTTCTATGTATACATTTATTTAATTTTACTAAATTGGAATCTTTCTATATGTACCCCTTTATAACATACTTCCTCCCTTTCGTGAGCATTTTTACATACCAATAATATTTTCACACAATTATTATTTTGATGGATTCATAAAATGATTAATTTATAGTCATATCTCACATTATCACATTTTGGACTTCTTATACAACAGTGGTCTCATAACATTACAATGACATGTTTGAGAAATATTTCTGTGATATTCTACAATTAGGAACTTTAAAAATCTCTTTCATTTGATGCTGATGCACTAAAATATTCATCTTGATCAAAAGTTCACTATATTGAAATATCTCTTGTGATATTTAGGGGAATAATTTAATCTAATATCACCCTAATCATTATACATGCTTTAGCAACATTTTGTAAATCAGACCACTAATAAGTTACATTCTTGTCTGTTTTGGAAATTGCTTCTCTTTGCTTTTGACCAAACTTGTCTAGAACGTGCTTTCATTTGTAATGCTAACTACTTCTAGTGTTTGTCTTTTTAGGTCTTTGCAAGGAAGAAAAAAAAAAAATAGAAAGATATGTTTTTGATTTATAAATTCATTGAGTTTATTTTTCTTTTCTTTTTTCCCTACCCCTGCCTTTTCCTTCTCCTGTCCCTCTTCCCCTCCCCTTTATCCTCCTCCTCTTTCTTCCTCTCTCTCTCTTATTTTTTTTATTTATGGGAAAATATAGGTAGTAATTCATAGCATAGCCACTAGTGTCAGCCAGCCTGGTGTTGGATCTTACATTTTCTGTGTCTGCCTGTGTTTGCCTCAATATAATTACTATTTTTAAACCTATAAATCAGGATATTAATAGTATTTGCTTCAGAAAGGACCCAAGATTGCATGTTCACTGAGTTTAAAAGAGCTCTGCCAGTATGTGCACAGCATGCATTACATTTTATGAATAATAAAGCAATTAACATTAGATTTATTTTTTTTTTGTTTTTATAACTTGGATTTCATCTCCCATTTCAGAAAGGTCCAAGACTGATTACTTAATGATTTGTGTACACAATGAAAATACACAAGAATATTTTGATAGCAAGGTTACTTAACATAAACAATATAAAAATAAGATAAATATAATAGTATATGAACATATAACCAGCCTTGACTACTGAGAATACTACCTAACAAATATTCTATTATTTTTTATTATGATATTTTATTATGACAAAACAAATTCCTGTTGAATATATAAATATAAAAATTTAAACATAAAAGAGCTAGAAAATATAGAAAGAGAAATATTTTTTAGGACACATAGTGAGAACACACACATATTTTAGATCTCAGAATTTGAAATATTATTTAAAAACAACTGATAAAACAATGTTTCTGTTTTACCATTGCCTTTAGGCAACCGAATTGCTACATTTTATTTTCTCTTAAACCCAGGAAAAGTCTCTGTGTTAGAGCAATTTGAATGAAAAGAAGAATAAACAGGTGTCCAACGATAAGATTTCCAAGATAGGAAGAAAGAGAGGGTTCAGAAAGAAGGTGAGTAAATGAAATGTTGGTATACTTTATGCTCAGGATAACAACTAGTTGGGTTTATTCTATTTTTTGCATTTGCTTCTTATCTATCATTTTAATTTACAAAACTCTTGTGGTACCAAGTCTGCTTTCCAAGGCATACACACACTAGTGAAATGGAATGACCAGTTTATGTAACTTCCTTTCCATTCTATGACATAAGTACCAACCAAATGTTTTCCCAGGGTGTTGAAAAAGTGCAAACAATTTTCTAAAGATTTGCACTTTGCTTCATCCGAGGTGGTGAAAAATACAAAACCTATTTGCAGAAGGATTGAGAATATCTGAGCTTTTTGGATATTTTCTTTTCTGAGACTTGTTTTAAATTCAGGTCAGAAAAGCTAGTGTAATATTGGAATTGAAAAGAGCAACAGTGTTTTGACACTGTATATCTTGGCATAAACCTTGCATCATTCACAGTATGAGATGTCATGAAACTCAATTCAGCGTAACATAAAATCAAATGGGTTAAAGGAGTTCAAATAGCAGACATCCAGGTGTCTTCGCTGTCCAGCATCTAGTAATAGGAGGAGGTTGAGACAGAATAATATCATACCATTTATTATTCAGCATTTAATGTGTACCCGCTATGTGCCAAGGGCTGTGTCAAGGACATAAAAATTAATAAAAGAAACTCTTACTCTTGAAAGGGGAATGATCTGAAAACTAGCATTTATTGAAAACTCAAACATTGAAATCTACATTTTGCATGTATCTCTGTTTAATCTTTACATTAACTTTGTGAATATAATATTATTATTTTAAAGATGTGGAAAGAAGATGCAAAAATGTTGATTAAATTATCTAGGGTATTTAACCAACCATTGGCTGATATATATTTCAAACAAGCCTGCCTTAATCACAAAATGTTTATGCTTTTAGTTATATATAACGTGTCTCACCAATCACTGAAGGGGACAATTCATCCATGTAAGAAATTAACTCAACCCAGGTGAGAGGGCTCATTCCTGTAATCTCAGCTACTCAGGAGCCTGAAGCAGGAGGATAATTTCAGGGAAGGAATTGAGACCAGCGTGGGTAACATAGCAAGATATAAAAAAAACAAAACATCCCAGCACTTTGGGAGGCCGAGGCGGGCAGATCACGAGGTCAGGAGATCAAGACCATCCTGGCTAACACAGTGAAACCCAGTCTCTACTAAAAATACAACAAATTAGCCGGGCATGGTGGCGGGCGCCTGTAGTCCCAGCTACTCAGGAGGCTGAGGTAGGAGAATGGCGTGAACCCGGGAGGCAGAGCTTGCAGTGAGCCGAGATCACGCCACTGCACTCCAGCCTGGGCGACACAGCAAGACTCCGTCTCAAAAAAAAAAAAAAAAATTTTAAATGTTAACTAGGTGCGATGGCATGTTCCTGCAGTCCCAGCTACTCAGGAGCATGAGGCAGGAAGCTCCCTTGAGTCCCAAAGTTCAAGGGTGCAGTGAGCTATGATTGCACCACTGCATTCCAGCCTAGGTGATGGAGAAAGATACCCTCTCAAAAAAAATTAGTTTATTGTTAGATATACTTTTGCATAACTGTATGCAAATTGTGTAGCTGTAAAAATAAGGCTATGATGTAATTATGCCCTGAAACTGTTTGTTTGTTGCTGTTTTTGGTTTTATTTTTGCTTGGTATTGGTGATGTATGGAATAATGTGTTCACTGGTCTTAGAAGTATATACCTTTGCCAGATGGAGAAGAGTTGAGCAGTGTATTCTAGGAATAGGGAACAATATGTCTAAAACATGACATACTCAAGGAATTACAACAATGTTTTGTTTATAAAGAGGAGAGGAAAAAAAAGAATGATACAAGGAATATAAATGGGGTGGGCTCTGTATGTATGCATTTTTAGAATATATAATGTTTTTCTATAGAAAATAAAGAAGCCAAGATATGAATATATTATGTGGGGAGCATGCATGTCTGCAATTTATTAATATTTATTTTTTAATAAGCATTTATTTGAATGTGTATTGTGTGTATACTATAATGATTTACATTGATTTACAAAGATGCCAGCCTCCATTTGACAGTAGATCCCAAGGAACCCAATCTAAGCTCCAGTCCCTCTTGTAGTTGGGGAACCACCTTTATTTTTCAGGGGCCTGCTGGGTCTCCTTCCCACAGCAGATCATTTCCACACAGCCACAGTACCATTCTTGGGTTTTCTCCAAGTCCATCTCGGCCAAAAAGCCGGGTCAATCATGAAGTAAGTCTTCATGATACAGTAATCTTGGCTTAGAGCATTCTTTAGTGCTGAGATGGCTACAGTGGTTAGAGGATCAGAAAGTGAAACAGTTAGTCTACTTAGAATTCCTAGTAAACCTTCTGAAGAACAGGTACAAAAGAAAACCCCATACTGAAAGGTAAGATTAAGATGGCAGATAGGGCCGGCCGCGGTGACTCACGCCTGTAATCCCAGCATTTTGGGAGGCCGAGGCGGGTGGATCACGAGGTCAGGAGATCGACACCATCCTGACAAACATGGGAAACCCCGTATCTACTAAAAATAGAAAAAATTAGCCAGGCGCGGTGGCGGGCGCCTGTAGTCTCAGCTACTTGGGAGGCTGAGGCAGGAGAATGGCCTGAACCCGGGAGGCGGAGCTTTCAGTGAGCCGAGATCCTGCCACTGCACTCCAGGCTGGGTGACAGAGCCAGATGCCGTCAAAAAAAAAAAAAAAAAAGAAAAAGAAAAAAGAAAAAAAAGAAGGCAGATAGGAAGCAAGACTAGCTTGCAGCTCCCACTCAGACAGAGCAGGGTGGAGAGTAACACTGAACTTTAGCTCCCAAAACTACCACAGGAACATACCAGGAAAGCTGAAAGAATCCACAGACCCTTTGAAGGAACTGGGTCTCCGCTGCAGGCTCCCTGAAATGCTGAAATACTGTGACTCCGCTTGCTTTCTCAGCGGAGAGGCTGGTGGTGGTCTGGGGCAATTTCTCAGCCCTGGCCACCAGCTGCCTGGAAATAGACTCGGTGCTGTTCGGAGGTAACAGCCGGAATGAGATTGGCCTTAAAGACTGCCGGCTGTGTGGGAGTAGGGGGTGAGGCCTGTGAATGAGGGCTTTCCCCCACTTCCCTGGTGACGTTGACTCAGCCATAATCCTCCTGGGAACATAACTCCATTGGTCTAGAAACCATACCTCCATCCCCTACAGCAACTGCCGCCATCCCCACCCAAGGGAAGTGTGAGCTCAGACACTTCTATCCCTGCCCCCACCTGGTGGTCTTTCTCTACCCACCCTGGTTGCAAAGACAAAGAGCAGAATCTCTTGGAGGCTATATGGCCCTTCCCACCGCCTGAGGCCTCTGAATACTTAACCAGGCAATCATAGGGCAAGTGTGCATCCTTCCTATGGAACCACAGCTGATGCACTCTTGAAAGTGCCACTTCCTAGCTGGAGACCAACCAACACAAAACAAATGCACCAAACAAAAGTACAACCCAGGACCCTCATAGAGTCCACTTCACTCCCCTGCTACCTTCACTGGAGTAGATGCTGGTACCCATGGCTGAAATACATGAAGATGGATCACATCACAGGACGCTTTGCAGACACTCCCCAGTACCAGCCCAGAGCCTGGTAGCTCCTCTGGGTGGCTGGACCTAAACGAGCAAAAACAATCATTGTAGTTCAGCTTTCAGGAAGCCCCATCCCTAGGGGAAGGGGGAGGGCATCACATCAAGGGAGCACCCTGTGGAAGAAAAGAATCTGAGCAGCATCCATTGAGTCCCAGATCTTCTCTCTGACATAATCCACCCAAATGAGACGGAATCAGATAAAGATTTCTGGTAATGTGACAAAACAACGTTCTTTAACATCTTCAAAAAAATCACACCAGCTCACTAGAAAATGGATCCAAACCAAGATGAACTCTTCAAATTGCCAGAGCAAGAATTCAGAAGGTTATTAAGCTAATCAAGAAGACACCAGAGAAAGGTGAAGTCCAACTTAAAGAAATCAAAAACATGATACAAGTCATGAGAGGAAAGGTCTTCAGTGAAATAGACAGCATAAAAAACAATCACAACTTCTGGAAATCAAGAACACACTTATAGAAACGCAAAATGCAGGCTGAGGGCAGTGGCTCACGCCTGTAATCCCAGCATTTTGGGAGGCCAAGGCAGGCAGATCAGAAGGTCAGGAGTTCAAGACCAGCCTGCCCAGCATGGTGAAATCCCATCTCTACTAAAAATACAAAAATTAGCCAGGCATGGTGGTGGGCACCTGTAATCCCAGCTACTCAGGAGGCTGAGGCAGGAGAATTGCTTGAAACCGGAAGGTGGAGGTTGCAGTGAGCTGAGATCATGCCACTGCACTCCAGCCTGGGCAACAAGAGTGAAACTCCATCTAAAAAAAAAAAAAAATCCAAAATGCTCTGGAAAGTAACAGAAATGGAATCAACCAAGCAGAAGACAGAACTTCAGAGCTCAAAGACAAATCTTTTCAATTGATCCAATCCATAAAAGACAAAATAAAATAAATATATAAATAAATAAACAAAGCCTCCAAGAATTTTGGGACTATGTTAAACATCCAAACCTAGGAATAATTGGTGTTCCTGAGGAAGAAGATACATCGAAAAGTTTGGAAAATATATTTGAGAGAATAATTGAAGAAAACTTCCCTAGCCTTACTAGAGATCTAATCATCCAAATACAGGAGGCTTAAAGAATACCTGGGAAATTGTTGCAAAAAGGTTATCCCCTAGGCATATAGTCATGAAGTTATCTAAATTCAAGACAAAGGAAAGAATCCTGAGAGCCATGAGGCAAAAGCATCAGTTAATGTACAAAGGAAAACCTAAAACCAACCCAGAAAAAGCAGAAACCCTACAATCTGGAAGGGACTGGGGTCCTATTTTTAGCATCTTTAAACAAAACAATTATCAGTCAAGAATTTTGTATCCAGCTAAACTAAGATTCACAAATGAAAGAAAGATACATTTTTTTTCA